CTTATTGTCGTTATTCAAAAAGTGATACAATATCAATACATTATTTTTTACTAGGATAAGTAACATTAAATAAGGGTATTCGAAAGAACAACAAAGGTTCGAGAGTGAGACGCAGAGAGGCAGAGAGAGAAGAGGCTCGGCGGCAGCAGGTTTGTGTCTTAAGTCTTTTGTTTTGCTCGCATGCATCGGCGGCAGGATGTTGAAGATGACGGCAAGATGTTGAAGTTGATGTTGTTTTTTCTGCCGTTGTTATTACTTACTTGTTGCTTTTGTTGCTCCCCGTAATTACATGGCAATTAAGTTAATTGAACCGCGCGCCTGCGCACGCGTGAATTGCTCTCACCGACACCCAGCTCGGTGATCTCTTTCTCCGCATTTAAATAAAAAATAAAACGAAGATGAAGTAAAAACAGCTGGCACCATTTGCATTGTAAGTTGCGCGTACAAACGGCAAACGGCAGCTCTTTTTGAAAATGTCAGAGCTGCAGACGGCGGCACATACATAACATACATAACCTTCCCCTCCGCAAAGCCCATGAGGCACGGCCTGTCAGGTCCTCCTCCCGATCTCCTCCAGGAGCAGCCGAGTATCTGTAGCCGGGAACCGGACAAACATGTCCCAATTGTATTGCCAACGTAGCCGCAGAGCCACAGAGATCTGGGCTAACTGGAGTGCCTGCGAGTGCCTGGCCCGCAGATCGCTGGGCCAGATTATCTAACTTGGCTGCGGATCGAAACACCCAACAGAACCATCCACGTACCTAATACCAAATACAACAATGAACTAGAAATTCATTTCATGGCGTTAGCCATCGCAATCTTGAGCCCTAAGGTTGTTATACCCATAATATAACACCGTCTATAGGGGCAACAAGATCTGTGGATCTGCAAAATTAGTGCTAAGTTAATAATGCATTCAAATGAGTCTTAGTTTTGAAAAATGTTAAGCGCGTAAAAATACATTTAAAGAAAAATCTTTCTGAGGAGCAGCCAGATGCTAGTAGTATGCCCTCTGGTGTTTAGAGGACGGCTCAGAATCTTCAGCCAGTTGGCGCGGAGCTGCTCCTTTGGGGCATTCCGCTCCACAAGGTTTGTCTTTGAATGACAATCCTCGCCAGTCAAAATGTCAATTAATTGTAAGACGACAGTCGCATGTCGTCGGCATCACTTGACAGCTCTGGCAGCGGTCGGCGGGACTTGAAAAGTCGGCTAACTCGACTAGTCAGCTGACTTAGCCGAATTAGTGGCGCACAAATACAGTCATTTGAACCGATCCGTATCTTTTGGATGCCGACTTATCTAAGCTAGGGCTTATTAGGAATGCAAAACGGTTTTGCATCCACCGTTGAGGCATGATATCATTGAGGAGCAGCTTTTGATTTGGGTGTTTCGGCGATTTATCATCGCATCGTTGTCGCTACGGGACGACTTAATTATGCAAATTACCACCGCAGAAAAAAGCCACCGATCTGCCTCCCGAAAAATCAAAGATAGATAATCTACACCAAAACAAATTTTTCACTATCAGTTCATTCATACGAACTTCCAGTTTTATACGAAAATGATTTATAATCTGTTTTAAAAAACAAAATGTTGTATGTTGATTTTCCTTAATGGGACATTTTATACCATCTTAGCGCATTTTTTGTTATACCTCATATAATGTTTACAATTCGGAGTTCAGTTTTTTCTGCGTCAGTCAAATACTCTGCCATAAAAATATACAGCGGCAGCTGCGGTCGCCGCTCGCTAATTGCAAACGCTTTCGTAGCAAATTAAATCAATTCACTTTGAAGTCGTGCCGCCAAAAAGTCTGGTTCGCAGTTACCCCGGACAGCTGTCAAATCGCATCAGACCGCTCAAGCCCGAACAACTGGAAACGGCAACCAAACGAAATAAAGCGCAAATCAAATAAAGTACCCTAAAGCTGAAGAGTCAGATACACGGAGCCACAGAGACAACATTTTTCAGTGGGTCACAGGGCTTCATACACACTTTTCCACCTTTGAAATAGGCTTTTTAAGGTTTTATTCGCACTGAACTAAACTATTCTTAAATTAATGGGGTTTTATTAGTATAGATTCTACAGCTGCCTTAGCCTTTACTTTACTAATAGCTAAATTACTCCCTGGGCAAAGCCATTTGAATTACCATGTCCATTCGAAATCCCCACTCCACTCTTTTCAAAAGAGCGGTTCGTTTCCTTTTGGGTCCGGTCATCGGCACTGCATGCGTTGAATTACAAATGAATCCATTACGTAGATTGTACCCGAATGGATGTAATGTTCCCCAATCGAAGGGCTTGGGACTGGCTATCTGGATTGAAATAAATCTAGAACGGCTTGCGATTCCGATCCTGTTTTTTTATAATATTAATATTGCTTCATGCCTACCATAAATCCGCATAATTTCTATTAATTTCTCCCTCTGCCTGTTCTGTGCGATTTTATGCCTGTAATTCCTTTCTAAAAAACTCGTATTCAATGTCAAAGTACCGCTCAGCATTCTGCTTTTGTTTCGTTTCTGTGACTTCCATTGATTTTATTTGTTGCTTGCAACCATTAATCAAAATCGAGAAATCATTAAGATTGAGTTTTGGCTTCGAGGTGTCAACTTGGCTGTTGTGGTTGCCTTCCTGTAATTGAATTGTGGATATGTACCGGCTTGGAAGGGGAAAAGGAGGTACAACATTGTTTTTCGGTCAGGCAGAATTCATTCAAAAAGTGTGAAACATGCTGCGAAAAATTCAAATAAAAAGAAAAACCAAAAATCAAGGAAATAGCTGCGAGTCAAAAGGCAAAAACACCAGAAGGAGAGGAGAAAGAAAAACCCAAAAACCGAAACGAAATTTGGGTTTTGGGTATTTTTTAAGTAAATTAAGCAGAACGTTTTTTTTGTGGTTCTCGTTTCCGACGACACAAAAACTTGGATTTTTTAAAATCCAACCGAAGCCCGAATATATTATATTACCCATAGTCTAAGCAGTCAGCGAAATCGTCCATCTGTTGGGTTTAAAAACCCCCGAGTGAGTTTCAATCTTATACTAAATGTAATGTTTAATAGGAATGCAATATACTCCTCTGCTTCTTTTGTAACGCTTTAATGAAGATATGATATAAATTTATGCGCTCTTGCTGTACAGATTTAAGCTCTGCTTTGATTCTCTACATTTTTACGAGTGTTTTATATGTAAATATTATAATTGCCTCAAATAATAAACTTTTTTCAAAATGCGACACTTTCTGTTCTTAAACTGACCTTAGGCTTTGAATTTCTTGGACATTCGATCCACGGTTGTCCTCACCTGCTTCGCCTCTCCCTCATTTACCTGGTCGCCCGTCTCTTTCGCTCCGAATCTCCCCCTCTCACTCCCTCTGGAGTTCCAAGCCAGGTCTATTAGGCTGATTGGCTTTCCGTTTCTTTTTTGAGTTGTTTTGTTGCTCCGCCTGGCTTTCGGCCAAGACGATGATGCGGTTCACTTGCCGACTGCATCATTAAATTATTATTGCGGACAGCTATTTTCCAGAGAGCTGCAAAAGCCACAAAAATTGGAAATCGCGTGTCTAATGCTCCATTCGAGTTGCCCGCCGGTTCTTGGCTGCCGGCCTTCTTCTCCGTTCCTCCGCTCCGCCTCTCCTTCGTTTTGGCCTAATGTGGCTTAATTATACAATAACAATATTGTTTGCCAGCAAACAAAGAGACCGGGCCGGCCATCCAGGCCATCCATGCCAAAAGTCCCCTGGTGATCTGTTCATCGGCCGTCAAAAGCAAAAGGAGATTCTCTTTCCTGAGAAAACGTTTCTCGATAATTTGATGCAGCTTTTTGCTCCCCGGATTTCTTAAGTTTTTTTTAGGTTGGGTCCTGGTTTTTTCATGTCGTGCGCTGACTGGTCTAAAATTCCACAAACTCATAAATGTTGATGCGTCTGGTTCGTCATCGTCATCAATGTTGGCATTTCTCGTACGAAAGGCAATGGCCAGCAGTGCACTCAGGGAAAAGGGGATCTCGAGGAGTTACATTGGGTTTTTCTAATCAAAGTATTTATATTGCGAGTACTTGCTTCTAAGCTATCAGAAACAAAGTAAAATAAAATATAACAAGATATATTTTATACGTTAAAAACTTCAAATACTAATTGCTTTGATTTCTTTTCGTGTGCTTCCTGGTCTGGAATAATATCGAATCAACTGAAGTCGAGTCAAGATGAGAAAATGTGGATTTGTTTAAAGTTATTAGATTGCATGACTGCATGACTGGTAATTGTCAATTAATTGCCATCGACAACTGCAAATGGAGTGAGCTCGCAGCTGAGGAACTGGCATCGGTACTCCGTGTGCGAAGTCAGACGCAAGTCTTCACACCAAACACACAACTTGTTAGATTTTTAATGGAAAATAAACAGTATTACAGCACAAAGTTAGTGTGCAAAAAAACACAACTTTGGTGGATTTATCCTCATTTTTCAACTTAAAATTTGTAAAAAATAATCTTTACTATTAACTAGTTTTCTAAAGCGCAAATCCCAGCGGAAAAACATTAGCAGTACAAGACGTCATATTGCAAATTCAGCTTATTTAATATCAGACATTAGCCGGTGTAAACAAACTTCAATTGTGCCGTTCAATTGTTGCAAATAGCAAACATTTGTTCAATTAGCTAAGTATTTGTTGCAGCTGGCGTGACGGCAAAACAACAAAGGAGGAAGAGTTTATTGGATATAAGATGAAATTATAGTAATTCAGCTATGACTTTGGTTTTATGGTTGTTGTTTTTCGCACCGAACAGCAAAATTGGCTCATAAAATTAAATAAATTTAAGTTTTTTTGAGATGTTTTCAAGAACGTCTTAATTCTTGTTTGATTATCTAGGCAGTGAACACTGAAGTTGTGGTGACAAGTGAAGGAAATTCAAAGACAGTTTTGGAAACCACTTCGGTACCTGCATTGAAGTAACACAGTTAACTAAGCAATGTTGCTATTATTCTATCTATTTTCGACAGATTGCCAAGCTGCTGCCCCTCATCGAATCCGGATGCTCGCGACGTGCCCGATTCCTGCTCTGCTCGTCGCTGTTTCCGCTCTGCACGCCGGATGTGCCACGCCCTGTCACCGCCTGCAAGTCGCTGTGCGAAACCGTTAGGGGCGAGTGCTCGGAGATCGCCCCGCCGGAATTGATGGACCTGTGGCCCTCGTTCCTCCACTGCGACGGACTGCCGCAGCCGGAGAAGCACGAGCTGTGCATGCAGATTCCCCAGAAGGATGGCGTTCCAGGTGGGGGCCCAGTGGGTCCGCCCACCACCGGGGGGCCCACCGTCGAGGATCACCCGCAGACGTACCGCTTCTGGAAGAGCGGATCGCTACCTGCCCCTGGCCTGGGCGGCGTCCTGTGCCCGCAGAACTTCAGCGGTAGTCCCTTTAACCCGGAGGAGTGCGTGCCCCAGTGCCAGCGGGACGCCTTCCACACCAGCGCCCAGAAGAAGATGTCGGAAGGGCTGGTCCTGGGCCTCTCAGCCGTCTGCTTCGTCCTGACCCTGTTCGCCCTGGTCACCTTCTGGGCGGAGCCCACCCGGTTCGGCTACCCCGAGAGACCCGTGCTCTTCCTGTGCCTGTGCTACAACCTGTTCAGCGTGTGCTACCTGGAACGGATCGTGTTCCACAACCAGGCGCGGATGCAGGACGTCCAGGTGCAGGGGCGTCTAATGCGCTCGGCCTGTCAACTGACGCCCCCCTGCCTGGCCTCCTACATAACCACCTCCTACCTGAGTCTGTGTGCCTCCAGCTGGTGGCTCATTTTTGCCCTGTGCTTCTACCTCTCCTCCCACAAGAAGTGGTCCAGCGAGGCGCTGGAGAAGCGATCCGGCCTGTTCCACGTCCTAGCCTGGGTGCCGCCCCTGGGCCCGCCCATCGCCGCCCTGCTCCTGGAAAAGGTGCGTCCAAGCGAGCTGACCGGGATGTGCTACGCCCCGGGATTCGTGGAGCTGCCGGCTCTGGTCCTACTCCTTCTGGGGCTCTACTTCACCCTGAAGGCCTCCAGGTCGCTGCTCTCCCTGCAGCAGCAGCTGCAGCCGACCCTGGCCCACCACCGCTTCGGGCAGATCAGGAAGCGCTTCGTGGTCTTCTCCCTGCTGTACTTCGCACCCACGGCCGCCGGCGTGGTGGCGGCTCTCTGCGAGCGGTACGCAGACTCGGTGCCCAGCTGCTCCACCCCCGAGGACTGCCTCTCGCCCACCCCGCTGAGTGCCTGGCCGGCCTTGGTGCGGGTGTTCTTCCAGCTGGTGGGCGGAACCTTGACGGGACTGTGGGTGTGGTCGCGCAAGACCTGCGAGAGCTACAGGCATCGCTTGGGGGCCAGCGGCACGCCCACCTCCTCGTTAATGAACCAAAGCAAGACGGCCGGGGCTCTGCCTAAAAAGCATTTGTATACGAGCGGAAAGTCCATGCTACCCAGTGGGGGAATCACTCCCCTCTACGCCGGCATTAGTTTCCACAATGTGCCCGTCTACAGTCCCAATCAATCTATAGTCTAGGGCTAGCGGAATCACCCTCCTCTATTGTACATATAAAAGCATCCCTCCATTCAGCCGCTCATCCGCCCCATTCATTCCCAGAATTCTATAAGGCTATAAGCTCTGATCTAAGTACACGTAGTGTTGTACGTCTAGTTCGTAAGCCTCGAAAACGAAAAACTGAAATGTGTTAATAGTTTTAAATTTCGCCCGCCTCCAACCACCCATCATCCCCAGTTTTTATTAGTAGTTCTTTAGCTAATCGTAAGTCTGTAAATAGACTAAATGTTTTATTACTCCTTGAAATATTGTACATAAATAGTTTTAAGACAACCAATTTAATTTCATACCCTAATAAAAAATGAATATAACATTTAAATTAATTTAAATGGATAAATGGTGTTTAAAATAAAAGTGTGCAAAATTGCCCTACTGAAATTAATATTTTGTCTACCGCATGTAGTATATACATGTATAAAGATTGCGTGAGTAACTAGATAAGTAGGCCTTCTCGCGAATTCTTCAGTCACCAAGCTCCTCACTTTGTAAGCCCTATCTGTATGGGTTAATGATGCGAAAGTTGCCGCAGAAAAGGGCCAACGGTTCGCGTCGTGGAATTCCGAGGATAAATGATGCGAATTCGTTCAACTGCAATTGTAAAAAAGCTAAAGTGTTGCTATCGTCTGTGGTCGGAGCGATGGCAATTAGAAGGAAAATGCTTAATGACGGAGCACAGCGTTGATTGCCAGCGTTTTGGTGGATGCACCACCTGTATCTCGGCGTGCTCCGCTTTTTTCTTTTCCCTCTAAGAGAGGCGCACACAATACCTAAAAGACTCTACGACATCGGGTATTCAATATGCGATTGGCCAATACCCCGATCTCAGCAAAATTGTCAATACTCTTTTTTCGTACAAATGAAATGAAATAATATTTGAAATATTTAGTATACGGTAGGGTTTTGAAATCTCTTAGATGTCGTCTAGGTGTATGAAAGTATGCAGTGAATAAGGGGTAGTCGTCTTTCAGAAAGAATTCCTTTACTACTTTAAAATACATTGTTGCATACTTTTAGACACCTAAAATTACAATAAAAACCAAATATTAAAGAAACCTTTAGTTATATTGTAGGGCACTGTCATTGCTTACTCGGTATTTGGTATGGTCAGAAGCATGAGTATTAAGCGAGGCACAATTAAATTGATGGAAGCAGCCACACCGCGAGCCAGCCACGTTTCTACCCAACAAATTGCCGGGAAACACAGCAGCAGCATTGCCACAACAGCAACTCTTCAGCGGACATGCAATTAACTCTTGTGCGCCAAGATCAAAGCGATTTATATTAATGCCGTCCTGCCGACTCAAGCTCGCGGACCCGGATTCTCGGGCGAGTAGCGGTGTGGACTTGGCCCAGAGCAGGGAACCTAGTCCACAACGAGACGGACCAGAACGATGCCAAGCCAGGTCTCACGCTTTATCCACCATCCATCCATCCATCATCCACGACGGCGATTTTTTTAACCACCCGGCACAAAAAATATTTGCTTTCAAAATTTGCTTTTAGTTAATATATTTTAAGAGGAGTCGGGGCCCTTGACTTTTTGTAGTTGTCAAAAAGTGTAAGTAAAATAAATTTCTTAATAATGGTATATATACCATTACTTGAATTGAATTCTCTAGTATTCTACATTTATGTTTGTCTTTTAGGTGACGATCAAAAATTTAACTCATGTTCATGTACGATTTTTCTGTAATTCTAGTGGGGCTCAGAATGGAGACCCAAAATTGCACTTCTTCCATAACCTAAGTTATTGGATTCCGATTTTGAAGTGGGATTCCACTGTGAATTTGTGTTTTAATTCCCTAATATCCTACATTAAAAGTTTCCTTTTAAGAGAGGATCAAAATTGTAACCCGTTTTCATGTTCAATTTTTCTGTAATTCCAATGGGGTCCAGAATGAGAACCCAAAACTGCACTTCTAGATTCCATAACTTGAGTTATTGGATCCCGATTTTGAAGTGGGATGCCTCTCTGAATTTGTGGTTTAATTCTCTAAAATCCTACTTTAAAAGTTTTCTTTTAAGCGAGGGTCAAAATTTTAACCCATTTTCATGTTAGATTTTTCCGTAATTCCAATGGGGTCCAGAATGGGAACCCAAAACTGGACTTCTAAACTCCACAACTTGACTTATAGGATCCCAATTTTAAAGTGGGATGCCTTTATGAATTTGTAGTTTAATTCCCTAACATACTGCATTTAAAGTTTTCTTTTAAGCGAGGGTCAAAATTTTAACCCATTTTCATGCTCGATTTTTCCGTAATTCCAATGGGGTCCAGAATGGGAACCCAAAACTGCACTTCTAAATTCCATAACTTGACTTATAGGATCCCAATTTTAAAGTGGGATGCCTCTATGAATTTGTGGTTTATTTCTCTCAAATCGTACATTAAAAGTTTTCTTTTAAGCGAGGGTCAAAACTTTAACCCGTTTTCATGTTTGATTTTTCTGTAATTCCAATGGGGTCCAAAATGAGAACCCAAAACTGCACTTCTAAATTCCACAACTTGACTTATAGGATCCCAATTTTAAAGTGGGATGCCTTTATAAATTTGTGGTTTAATTCCCTAATATACTACATTAAAAGTTTCCTTTTAAGAGAGGGGCAAAATTTTAACCCGTTTTCATGTTTGATTTTTTTGTAATTCCAATGGGGTCCAATGAGAACCCAAAACTGCACTTCTAAATTCCATAACTCGACTTATAGGATCTCGATTTTAAAGTGGGATGCCTCTATGAATTTGTGGTTTAATTCCCTAATATACTACATTAAAAGTTTCCTTTTAAGAGAGGGTCAAAATTTTAACCCGTTTTCATGTTTGATTTTTCTGTAATTCCAATGGGGTCCAGAATGAGAACCCAAAACTGCACTTCTAAATTCCATAACTTGACTTATAGGATCCCAATTTTAAAGTGGGATGCCTTTATGAATTTGTGGCTTAATTCTCTAAAATCCTACATTGAAAGTTTTCTTTTAAGCGAGGGTCAAAATTTTAGCCCGTTTTCATGTTTGATTTTTTTGTAATTCCAATGGGGTCCAGAATGAGAACCCAAAACTGCACTTCTAAATTCCATAACTCGACTTATAGGATCCCAATTTTAAAGTGGGATGCCTCTATGAATTTGTGGTTTAATTCTCTAAAATCCTACATTAAAAGTTTTCTTTTAAGCGAGGGTCAAAACTTTAACCCGTTTTCATGTTTGATTTTTCTGTAATTCCAATGGGATCTAGAATGGGAACCCAAAACTGCACTTCTAAATTCCACAACTTGACTTATACGATCCCAATTTTAAAGTGGGATGCCTTTATGAATATGTGGATTATTTCCCTAACATACTACATTAAAAGTTTCCTTTTAAGAGAGGGTCAAAATTTTAACCCGTTTACATGTTTGATTTTTCTGTAATTCCAATGGGGTCCAGAATGAGAACCCAAAACTCCACTTCTAGATTCCATAACTTGACTTATAGGATGCCGATTTTGAAGTGGGATATCTCTTTGAATTTGTGGTATAATTCTCTAAAATCCTGCATTAAAAGTTTTCTTTTAAGCGAGGGTCAAAATTTTAACGCATTCCATTGTTCCGTAATTCCAATAGGGTCCAGCATGGGAACCTAAAACTGAACTTCTAGATTCCATAACTTAACTAATGGGATCCCGATTTTGAATTGGGATACCTCTATGAGCTGGCAATTCGGCAATATCCTTCATTCAAATCGATTTATCGTGGATTTTAAAAGTTTTTTAAACTTGTTTTCAATCCAATATGTGGGGATGGCGCTAAGCTAGATCTTAGCCAAACAGGGCGACTGTTACTCCGAAGCTATCGATAACCACACAGCGTTCCGATAGTCTATCCCTCGTTCGACCGCGAAAGCTAACGGAATATATTGCATGCAATTCGTTAGACGGGGATGATGATTTCGGGTGAAAATACCGAGAATGAAGTTAGACAGGTGTGCATGCGGACCAAAGTCAAAGTGAACATGACGGTTTATAACTATGAGATGACTAACACGCCTATTTAAAAAGAATTTTATAAATGTTTAAGATATAATAAAACATATCGTATAGTGCGGAAAAAAGCCCATCTCTAATCTCATACAGGCATCAACCGATTGTTGAGTACTAGTGTCACCACTAGCGACCAGCATTGCCAGATCAAAACAGCCGCGCGAACATTCATGGTGAAATTTGTTTTGTTAATTGGTTATTTGGCTCTATAAAAGTGAATAGAGTGGCTGTACCAAGTGATGGAAACCCGTCTGGAGGTGCGCCTGCGAGAGCCAAACCCGCTTTTTACCCGCTGGCTGGAGCGCTGGCTGCGGGAGGCGGAGCGGCGCCAGCAGAAGTCGCAGTTTAGGCTTCGGCAGGCGCTGGAGTCCCTGAGGAGCTACCCATTGCCGTTGTCCAGCGGAAGGGACTGCTCTATTCTTCGCGGCTTCGGGGGCACCCTCTGCCAGCTCATCGACGAAGAGCTGCGCCAGCACAGGGGCCTCCAACTGGCGCCCCAGGAGGACGTGGCCCGGGCGCAGTACGAGCAGCAGGTCCAGGAGGTCGTCCGCCAGGTGCAAGAGCAGCAAACGGTACACCAGAAGCGTCTGGTTAAGCCCAGGAAGCCGACCAAAAAGGATCTGGCGGAATTGGCCGCCCAAGAGGAGCGGGTACGCCAGGTGGAAATGAAACCGGGCGCTTTCCAGTTGCTCCTCCTGGTAGACACCCAGGAGACCAGTGGCAAGAACAAGCGGGTCCTGGACCAAACGAGGAGCTACCTGGAATCGCTGGGAGCCCGTCATGAGGTGCGTCGCCTCACTATAGGCGATTTTCTTTGGGTGGCCCAGGATTCAGAAGGCAACGAACTAGTCTTACCGTACATCATCGAGCGCAAGCGGATGGATGACCTGGCATCCAGCATACGGGATGGTCGCTTCCACGAACAAAAGCACAGACTGCAACAGAGTGGCCTGAGGAACATCATCTACCTGGTCGAGGACTACGGGGACAACGAGCAGCTGGGCCTGCCCCTGGACTCCTTGCAGCAGGCTCTGGCCAATGCCAAAGTTCAAACTGGAGTCCAGGTGGTGCGCACGGAGAATCACTTCCGATCCATGAGCTATTTGGCCGCCATGAGTCGTTCTCTCGGCCAGATCTTCGCCAACAAAAGGCTGTACAGCGTGGATCGCGGACAAATCGACAAATGTTCCTGCCTGCTTATGGACTCCCAGCTGGGGTTGCTCAAGTTTCGCGCCCTCTATGAAGACTCCGCCAAGAACGCCCAGCTCACGGTGCGAGAAGTCTTTGTGCAACAGTTGCTACAGCTACATTCCCTCTCCCTCGAACGAGCCATGGCTATTGTGGAGCGGTATCCCACGCCACGATGCCTGCTAGAGGCCTACGAGGTGTGGCTAGATCCAAAACAGGCGAGGCTGCTCCTCTCCAGCATCCCATGTGGGCCCCTGGAGCGCCCGCTGGGCGACAAAATCAGCCAGTGCCTACACGAATTCTACACCACGCACTTTCGTTAGGATTAGCAATTGATTTAATGGGACATATCTAAAGTTATATACACGAGTTTATACATTAAGTGAGAGAGAGAATACGATTTGGACTAAAGTCCCCGTTGGACATTGAATAGTGTGATCTAGTCTAAGCCAAAAATGTACAAGTCAGCTGCTTAGATATTTCGGAAGTGTCGGATGGCCAAGTCCACCGGCAGGTCGAAGTCAAATCGGGATAGAGCGTCGATGGAGCGCAGCGAGTCCCGGAATCCCGTGCGGGCCACGTAGCTGTTTGCTGAGTAGTACGTGTCCACCAGCTCATGGCAGCTGAGGATCAGGTTGAGCCACTCCACCAGCAAGTGGGAGCTGTTTGGAAGAAGAGAAAAGCTGTTTGAATGGGATAAGTAAGATCAACGGGGTTTACTCTGTGTCTTCATTGTTATCCCTATACAAGACATATACTAAATTTCATTTTAGAATCCTGTAAGCAAATCGTCTTGTTCATCCTGATGAACGTAAAAATGATTGATAACTCGCCTTTTAGTTATCCACTGAAATTGTAACAATTTTATGGTAAATGTTGAATCAAGCATTTGTGGTTGCCTGCCAAATTATTTATAAATATATATATAAATATTTAATATAAATAATCCTATTTGAGACTCGCCTAAACAATAAAAAAATTGTTTATGCATATTGTTCATTCCAGTAAAGTAAATACAATTTATACTTCGAGACTGTCAAGTATGATCCATAATTTTTGTTATACATATGTATAAGGGTAAAGCCTAAAACTATGCACTACGGAGTATTTTCCTATAGTATTGCATAGTTTTGTAGTTGTTAATCCTACTTTACTAATTTTGTTTTGGTTCCCCAGCATTTAGCTCTTGGAAAATACTCACTTGAGTCCGGCGCAGACGAAGGCCTTGAAGTGCGCGTTATTGCTCCGTTTGTAGGGGCGATGCATGGCCAAAATCATGCCCACGGCGCTGAGCAAACTCTGCTTGGCGGTCACCGCCTGGGCGTCAACAATGTCCAGCTGGAAGCTTTGCGACAACTTGCGGGCGGGCGTGTTGTTGTACTCCTCGCCGTGCTTTAATCTGTAATAGGCCAGTACCAGTTCCCAGGCGTGCATGGCTCTGCCCAAGCCGAGGAACTGCGAGTCCCCTCCAGCTGACGGCGGGACCATCGGAGGTGCTGGATGCAGACACCTCATGAAGGGAACCATCAAACTGGAGGCTGCCGATTCCGCTGGGATGCGCAGTCCGTGTTGGATGAGCTGCTGCAACGTACGCGCAAAGTTCTTGCGCACCACCGTGGTCAGTTCCCTGCCAATCGTGGCTATGGAGTCACCGCGCATGTGCGCCGTCCGCCGGCTCTTGCCCTCCTTCTCCCACTCGAAGTTCGAGTAGCTGATGTCCTCGTCGGAATCGGAGGATATGGCTCCGCCGGCCGCATAGGGAGCCAGCTCGTGACCAGTTGGCACTGCTCGTCGGCAGCGCAGTGGCAAAGTGGTCAGCGCTCCACTCTGGGAATTGATAACCAAATGGCCAGCCGCGGAGGAAGAAGTGCACTCAGCCTGCTGTTGATGCTGCTGGCGCAAAGCGCGCTTGATATTGGCCAACTTCTCGCGGTCGCAACTCAAAGTGGCGGCCAAGGCAGCCACTTCCTGGATGTCCACCTCCAACTGGGCACGTAGATCCCTAGAACAAGTGAGAGTAAAGTCAGGTTGGTGTTCTTTAGATTGAGAATGTCTAACCATCACATGTGAATATATTTTAGGGACTATAACCCAAATCTGCCAATTAGTTCGAATTTGTTCCTAAACACAATAAGATTTCGGACGTTTCGAAAAATTTTAAAAGTAACTTTCTTGGTGATTTGAAATTCTTGAGAAAAATCAGAAAGATATTTTGTTATCTGCTATAAATTCAAAATTTAGATCTGTTCTGCTGATTCTCAAAATTGACAATTATTGTGGACACCTGTTGCTATGCACAATTTTTTTTTCGAAAATAACAACTTCTTCGGACGAAAAGTTTTTTAAACAGCGTTAAAATATTATCACAAACAATTAAATTTGTTATGTGCATATTAAACCCAATATTTGGAAATATCAAAGGTCTTTGAGTTAAGATGTACTAATCTACTATCAGATGTCTTGAAAGTTTGTAGAGGGTTGTTTGCAAAGGTTTTTCTTACCCCCAGTGGTTTCCCTTGTGCGTCTTCTTCAGCGAGTTCTGCTGGAACTCGTCGTGGCTTCTTGGCTTCCCCAAATGAGTGCTGGCGAACATTTGCATGAGGATCGAAGCCTTGTCCAGCAGTCCGTGAGCCTTGCTGTGCAAGCTCTCCCCGGGCGAATGGGAGCCCACTCCGGAGTACGGAGGAGGAGCAGCAGTAGTGGCGGGGGCGCTGGCCACACCTGTGGCCGGGGCAATGGAAGCTGCTTGTGAACTCCGGGCTGTCTGCTTGGCCGCGTAGCTATTGTAGGCTCCGGACAGAAGCTTCAGTCGATCCCCCACGGAACCCTCAACCGCATCGCACTGCAGGAAGGCAATGAAGCGCTCCAGGTCGGTGATCTGCGTCTTCAGCTGGGCCACCAGCTGCTCCTTCATCTTAAGCGGGCCCACGAACTCGCCGATGGCGTTGTCCACCTGGTGGCGCAACTGCTCCGTGCTGAGGGCAGGCAGCTCGTGTTGCTCAACCTGGAGATTGAGCTTGGAGCGCAGCTCGTCCAGGATGAACTTTTGCTTCTCGAGCATCACGTGTTGCGGCAGGATTCCGGGCTCTCCAGCCTCGTAGGCTATTTGTTCCAGCTCAGTGAGCTGGGATTTCAGTTGTTCGATGAGCTGGCTATCTGCACCGGGCTCCTTTTCACCCTCAACGGCGTCGTCTTCCGGCTGGGACTCCTTGGACTGAACTGCCTCCGGAATGCCCTGAAAGGCAAAGTCTTCGAGGTCGCGTAGCAGTTGATCCCGCTCCTCCGCTGGCGCCTCCACAATTTGGCGGACTCTCAGTTGGACGTGGGCAAAATGGGAGGTCAAGGCCAACAGGGAACTGGTGAGCAGCTCCTGCTCCTCCTCGATGCTCCGCAGACGGGCCAGTTCGCTCCCAGTGCTCCCACGTCGCGTCTCCGATTTCTCCAGTCCAGGTTCCAGTTCGCAATCCACGCCAGAGCTGGCGCTATTCGCGTCATCGTAGTTGGCTCCCAACGGAGACCATCGCTCGCTGAGGAGCTCCTGCTGCTCCTGCTCTTCCTGCTCGACCTCTGCCTCCACTTCCTCCTCCTCCTTTTCGACAGGAACAGAACCAGCTGGCAGCTGGCCTTCGACCGTCGAGGAGAAGTCCTTGGACTCCTGGGCCTCCGCCATTTTCATCTCCATATGGAAATGCTGCAGCGGAATGGATTACCTTGCGTAGTTTGTTATCCTCGGTTTTTCTGTTCTTCCTATGCTCGAGAAAAATCAATCGGTGGCTTGTTCCGCTTTCTGTGCCAGCTGGCCCAGCTCCCTTGCTCTCTCCTGCTCTTTCTTTCGCTGGCTTTAGAGACTTTTGGTTCCAGAATATGTGTGATTGAAACGATGAGCGCGCGGCGACGGTTTCTGACGCACTGCCAGTTTCTCTCGAAGCTACGGCCAGAGAGGCTTTTCTCGTTGGGGTTTTCCGGCTGTTAGGGGGTGAAAGTATTGCTTTAAGCCACTTTTAAAGAGCTTCAGGATGGTTGCTTTCCTTACTGACGGAAAAAGCTATTGAACTTTCATGTGCACCTTTCCAACCCCTAGGTAAATAAGGCTTTCCAGTCACGGAATGGAAAATTCTCTTGATGGCATTCTTGTTGGGGCTGAAAAGCATAGCAAAAAACGCTATTCTCAATGCTGGATGGTTAAAAACTTTAATTTCTTTCCAACCTTTAGCAATTTTTTCAGAAGCAGTCTATTTTAAAGGGTGTTGTTTTTTAAGTTTCATGTTTTTTAGAGTTCCAGCCAGAAAGATATTTTTGTGTTTTTTTCCATAACTACAAAACTACAAAAATATTGTTTGGCTGCTTAATATTTGATACCAATTATCGAAATCCTTCTAGGGGTCTTCTTAAATAATCAGTTAGAACATTGTATGCTTAAAGTTTATACATTGTTAAAGTGAGAGATCCGTTGGTTACAATCATGAATATAAGTTTAGGTGTTAATATGTAAAATACATAGATCCGGCGATGATATAATCCTTTGACGGCTGTGTCCCCAACTACGGAACAGCTGATAGGAAAGTCTTGAGAGTTTACTAGCTTCCTCCAGCGGCGCTTTGGAGCTTCTCACCAGGCCCCTTAAAGCTCGTCCCAAAGCTGTCCTAACATCCCGAGTTGTTTACTCTTTTGAGGGGCGGGGACTCATGAATCAATGACGATTATGACCTACATTACCAGCGTATGAAACGATGACCGCACCGGGGAACATGCGGCTACCCCCTGCACACCTGCGAATAAATAGTGAAATCCCCTGTTATCTTCGAGTGCTTCCTGATAAGAAGCCGGCGGAGATTAAACCGCAGCAAACGGCTCTGCGGTCCGGTTCTCCTGTCGCTGACAAGGCACGTTATCAACTGCCGGCTGATGATGGGCCCGATAAGTCTGTCAAGTGTCTGACACAGCAACCATGGCGGTCATTTTGGGGTCACCCCCGCAAACAAGCCGAATCAGGCACTCGAAAAAAGAAAATATATCAATTAGTAGGACTGCCAGAACTGATGTTTTGTAGCTATTCTTTGAAGAGAAAGCACCGAAACTTTGCTGTAAGCTTGTTTTTGCTACACGATTACCATTGGGTCCACCTATTGATAGTACTATCTAAGATTTAAGGGGTTTAAAGAACTTCCCCCCTTTCAGATGATTCTAGTTGTTGATCTCTAGGCTATTTTAACTGAAACTTATTGAAGTTCTAACACCGAAACATTGTTTAAAGCTATCTACGATTGTCTATTTTACATGACTAACACTGGGGTCACCCCTAACAAATATTCGTTATAAAAATATTGTCTTTATACGACCTAAGATAATATAGGTTTAAAGAACTTTCCCTTGATGATGTTCTATGTTGTTGATCCCTAATTAGACTACTTGAACTGAAGCACCAACTTGTTGTTAGTGCCCAGTTGAATTATTTTCTAGCTTTTTTTCTCCGCCAATTCTCCCTCAACTGGGTGAAACATCTTTTGTTCAGTGTGGTTACATCTTATTTATTACAACAAAAAAAAAAACAGAAGTGGGGAAAATAATGGAGGAAACGTAATTACGGGCAGCACGCTTAACGAGGCGTCAGATTGTTCTTGCCGCCATCGATGGGGAGGAGAGCGCCGGTTGTAAAACTGGCCTTGGAGCTGGCCAAAAAGGCCACGGCCTCGGCGACTTCGGTGACGTCGCCCACACGACCCATGGGATGCGAGTTGATGGCCCGCTGGAGCACTCCGTTGTACTCCTCGTCGACGATGCCGATGCTGCGGTGGATGTTGGTCACGACGAAGCCGGGGTTGACCGAGTTGACGCGCACGCCCTGCGGCGCCATCTCAAGGGCCACGATCTTGGTGAACTGATCGAGGGCGGCCTTCGAGACTCCGTAGCTCAGGGCTCCGGCGAACGGACGGATGCCGGCACAGCTGCTCACATTGACCACGGCGCCCTTGGTCTTCAGCAGGTGCGGGAGCACCGCCTTCGTCAAAAGGATGACGCCACGCAGATTGGTGTTGATCACCGAGTCGAACTCCGCGATGTCCAGGTCGATGAGGCCACCCTTGCCCAGAATACCGGCGTTGTTGACGAGCACGTCGATGCGTCCGAACTTGGCCAACGTCTGCTCGACAATCGCATCCGCGTCCTTAGTCACATCGGCCACCACGATTTCCGCCTTGGCGCCCTTCAGGTTCTTCTTCGTGGCCTCCAGATTGGCCACATTGCGACCCACCAGCGCCAGGGTGGCTCCTTCGCGGGCCAACACCTGGGCAATCGCGGCTCCAATTCCGCTGCTGGCACCCGTCACGATCGCCACCTTGTTGCTGAGACTCATCTTGAACGACTGGAGCCGGAATTCGCCCGGGGCGGATTTTATGGACGTGCTCTCTCCCCACCGATAAGATAGTGCCTGCACTCCGAAAAATGAAGGTGTTATCTGTGATAGCCTTAAAAAAGGAAAGGCAAACTCTAGAGAGTGGTTTTCACTGAATGGCTTGTTTGCCTGGGATGTTTGTTTACTTCGTTAAAAATATAGCAGGAGATTTATGACCTTGGACTTTGAAAATTTCCAAGGTGTCATAAAATTAGTTTGGGTTTTTCAAAATGGCAGAGCTCTTAAAGGTTCAAAAATGGTTTTAAAAAATTATAAATTATATAATTTGATGACCTTAACCTGCTTGTTTAGAGCTTTGTAAAACTACCTGTGACCTTTTTGATCTTTTTGCTGACTTAGAAGTAGCACAGTTATTTTTCGCACTGTGGGCATGACGCAAATCGTTCGTTGCTCTCCGTAAGAACAACCTGTAGAGGTTCACCTTGGGCCTCAGAGGGTCTTTATCGATGCTCTAGCATCGCATTAGCGGCCGCGATGCCTCGGTGCCTCGACTCGGGTTTTAAAAGTCAGAGCCCAAAGTTTTTAATTAAAACTTTCCGAGGGTCTTGTCTGATTTCAAGCATTTGCGAAATCATGGCATATCGCCTGGAAGACGGGCCTCCAAAGACGCCCCCGCCACCTCCAAACTTCGAGTTGAGCGCCTCCGTTGTCAGATAATTAGCATTTCCATTTGGCTTGAGTGGGCGCTCGTATATCAACGCCTCCCAGCGAAGATAAGGCGCTCGGGGTCTCCAGCTGGAGGACATTGGGAGCGATTGTGGTACAGTGGCAGTTCAGTACCTCAGACCACCACTGGTCCGCAAATAAATGGACTTTTGAGATGTCCAGATACCATTGGCCACTTAATTTATTTCGACTCAGGACTGCGATTCGGCCGGAGATGTTTCACTGTATTTACAAACGGTTCGGCCCAAAAGGCCTGTGCCTTCGATGGTGTATTTGGCACTAATCGTTTTCCTTGCTAAGCGATTCTCTCAGGCTCGGCAATTACTCAAAATCTATGACTGAGTGGATTAATTAATTAAAGCGGCAAAGCAATGCAGGCTTAGGCGCCAACAAATGTATACTATGTATGCCTTAAATCCGATTTCCATTATTTGCATCATCGTCTCCACTAAAGTGGGGGACTTAGCTTCAAATTTCACTTGAGTGCGCTTAGCTGGGGACTTTAAAGCGCCCTACTTTAAAATATGAAAAGATTGATTTATAAACTGACTAAAGCAACCATGATTGATTTTAGGATTTTAATTAACAACACATCCGAATACAAAGGCCAGGAGGAGTCGTTGGTCTCTGTTTTCGCCTTCGGTGAGTGAAGGATACTCCAGCCACACTTCTCCGCACTCTCGAGTCGAGTCGAGTCCTTCGATCCAACTCAATTTGTCCCGGGCGGAATGTCACAATGTTAGACTGGCAAACGTGATAAGCCCGGGCTGCTGCCAGCTGCCAGCTGCTCCGATCCCCGCCTGCATTTCTTGCTTGACTTCTTGTGCAGTCACTTTTAACGCCAAGTCAGTGGCAGGACATCAGAGAACGGAAAACAGGAGTCCTCCACCGCCCAACCCAAGGGTGCATTGATAAGTGCCAGCGGTTTATGGAAATTGATGGAGAGGAATTCATGTAATTGACAAGCGAAACGAAATTGCATACAAATTGCTTAATCCTAGGAACTTGCAATCTAAAATAAATTAACTTTTAATTAAAGCAAAGCAAAAGGACACAACAAAAAAAAGAAAAATGAGAAAACAAAAAGGATTCTTCGACGGGCCGAAGCTTGCAATACCCTTGCAGGATGCATTGATTGAATTTCAGCTTAAAATGCAAAAAGTGTAATCAAGGCCTTGTCTTTACTTTAAATGTTAAATAAAGATGGCTGTGCAACGGATACTTATTGCCAAATCTATAATCGGACTGTCTGGACAGAGGCCTTGCCGCAATGACTGAAACCCGCCCCTGCAAGAGTGCAAAGAAAACTAAACTAGGAACTAAGTTAAATACACTATGTACAGCAGTGGAATGGAACTGAGTTGGGAACTTGTTGGGAGCTCACTTCAAGGCAGCCTTGTTCTTCAGCGGCAGAAAGGCGGCCAACAGACATCCAGCTGTGCGAAAAGGAGCAGGGATTAGGAGGTCACGTTCGAGATGGACTTCGATTGCGAGCCACTTACCCAACATGAACGAACTGATCATAAAGAAGGGCGGCACACAGCCCAATCCCATCAGGGCCGGGAAGAAGATGTTGCCCAGCAGTGAGCCCAGGCGACCGAACA